TGGTGCAGTGGATTCTGCCTTCACTCAAATAGAAGGAGATAAAAATACGCGCCACCCACTCACCACACAGGCGCACCGCAGGGCTGGATCGTGTTCAAAGCACTTTGAATTTTGATGAAAAAGTGCTCTGTGAAAGCTCAGCTCTGTTCTCAGGAGTGTTGGGCGAGAATGAAGCAAAAACAATGTCTAGAACATGTGCTTAGGAGCCAACCTCCCCGCCACGAGATCCTGGCTTTGGAGCGAGTCAGCATCCTGCAGTCAAGGCCTGAGCACCCCTTCCCCAGAGGCAGGGCTGCAGGACAGGGAACTGGATGGGGAAGAGCTGAAGAAATGAGGCCGGTAGTATCTCTGATGGAAGGTTTCTGATGTGAATACAGAATCTGATAAGATAATCGCCAGGCAGTTTGTCCCAGAGGAGGGATTGGGGATAGCATGTTGGAGGCCAAGATAATCGGAGTGGATTCTTAAAAAGCCAGGAAGGAAACACAAAGAAGACCCTGAAAGAGCCACGATTTCTGCTCAGGGCAGGAAGGGGTGGGTGGGGGGGTCCAGAATCCTCAGCAGTGCCGAAAAAGACAACAGAAGATAAAGGAACTGTGCAAACAGTAACGCCGACTTTGACCGCGACACTCGGCAGAAGAAATTAGACTGTTGGGAAGCTTAAGGAACAGTCCACTCCCTGGTACAAAAGAGACACATGCTTCCTGGGCAAATTATTTCTTTTCTCACAATCTCACACATCTGAGAGACTCAGAGGAAAAGATGCATAAAAAAATATCTGCAAAGATGTTCCAGTTTCAGACAAATGTGAGGGATGGGGATAATGAAGCTGAGCTCAGGGGTGATGAAATACCAGAGGGAAGTCCACAAAAGAGAGATGTGCATTTTTGGCTGTGAAATTCTTTCTTCTTTTTATAATAGATGCAAGAGCCCAGCTAGTGTGGCTCAATGGCTGAGCATCATCCCATGCACCAGGAGGTCATGGTTCGCTTCCCTGTCAGGGCACATGTCTGGGTTACAGCCTCGATCCCCAGTAGGGGGTATGCAGGAGGCAGCCGATCAATGATTCTCTCTCATTGTTGATGTTTCTCTCTCTCTCTCCCCGTCTCCCTTCCTCCCTCTGAAATCAATAAAAAGATATTTTAAAAGTAAAACTAAACATAAAATAGATACAAGATACTGGAGTTGGAGGGAAGCTTTGGGAAAGGACCTAGTAACCAGAAGTGATATAATCGGAGGGTTGGACTTCCATGATGGGGAAATAGTGGAAGCAGGTTTTCAACCAATTGAACGTGGACGAGAAGATGAGAGAAACAGAGATCACTGGAGAGTCTGGGTTTGCAGAAATCGCAGGAGAATAAAGCAGTCCATGCAAATGGGGAGCCAGGTGGAGGGAGGGAGGTGGTAAAGGGTGAGGGGTCAGGGCCTGGCTGGTGAGAAGGTGAGAAGCACCAATCGGGTTATTACAGAGTAGAAGGCTTGCTCCCGGTAAGACGATACAAGAAGGGCTAAGATTATTTGTGGAATTTTCTGCATCCACCAGTTAACCTCACTGCAAATCAAAAGGCAGCTCTCCAACAGGAAAGAGAAGAACATGCCCTTCCCTGCTTTTCCAGAAGGACGTCTGCAGTGAAGAGGGTCTGCAAGGGAATCGGTTCGAGGCAGCGTGTGGGAAAGTTACACGTGTTTTTCTGTTATTTCCCACAACCTGCAAGGTTTTTGTTTGTACCCCAGTTTATATTTATGCTTGTATTTTCTTCCCCAAATCAGCCAAAAAATCAAGTCAGCCGTTCTTTCATCGGTCCCCGCCAACTCTGCCCGCTAACCCTACGGCCAAGGAGACTGAAAGGTAAATTGGGCTGCTTGCTCCTGGGAAGACACGGTGCTTCCTGTGGGAGGACGTGGTAAGCGGTGCCGGGAGCCAGGCCACCAGCCGCCCTAGCAGCCCGGACACAGGCTGGCAGCCCCGGTAGAGGGCCTGCTGACAAAGACAAGCCAGGCCGCCTCCATCCTTGAGAAAACCCAATAGGGGAGAAGGCGGAGCAGTCAGTGGGAATAACAGGCTGGACAGCAGCCACAGAAACGGGTCATTTGCCTGGCACCCCACCAACCTTAGTCCTAGGCACAGAAGAAGGCAAAGTTGGGCCACTTTCTAAGGACATGAAAATAGACAGATGACAGGGTGTCAGTGGGAACAGCATTTCAGGCCTATATCTGCACACATTTCTCCCTTTTTCTCACCCTCTCTCCAACCCGAATGCGTTCCAAACGCCTCCCTATTTTTCATATAGAATACAGAAACTCTTACAAACTAGACAGGTCATGTTCAAAGGGTTTTTATTGGTGTGCTTATTTGCTTTTGCTTTAAGAGATCACCATGTTTGGACCGAATGGATGATGCTAAAACACACACTCAGATGCATTCATCTGCGGCTCAGGACATGGTGAATGTGGGCAGCTGACACCCTGAAAGTATTCATGTTGGAAAAAAGAACTGTGGGAATCATGGGAAAGTTAGCCTACTGGAAAGAAATGAGTGGAGACTGTAACCAAGCATATAACCATGTTTCCAGATGATGATGGTCCCGGTTCAACAGGCACAGTGCTTAGCGGGCCATCAGCTCTGCCCCCCACCCCCACCCCCAAAGATATATTCCTCCACTGTCCCCTAGGCCTGTGCCTTTCTTTCTTCTTATTTTTTTTTATTCTAGAAGGGATTTCTTTCCTTTTTTTAATTTTACATTCTCAATTATAGCTGACCTTCAATATGATATTATTTTCAAGTGTACAGCAGGGGTTAGACATTTATAGAATTTACAGTGTTTCCCCGATATTCCCAGCACTCACCTGGCACCATACATAGTTATCACAATACTAGAGGCCCGGTGCACGAAATTTGTGCATGGGTAGGGTCCCTAGGCCTAGCCAGTGATCAGGGCCAATCAGGGCCTTCCTTCTCTGGCTGCTGGCTGGGGCCTTCCTTTAGTCTATGCCGCCCCCTGGTGGTCAGCACATGTCATAGCAAGCGGTCAAACTCCTGAGGGGACAATTTGCATATTAGCCTTTTATTTTATAGGATTCTATAGGATTGTTGACTAGATTCCCTGTGCTGGGCCTCACACCCTGTCACTCTTCTGTAACCACCAATCTTAAGTCTCAACCCCTTCCCCTTTTTCATCCAGCCCCCCATCCCCACTCCTCCTTGGCAACCAAGGATCTATTCTCTGTATTTATGAATCTGTTTCTGTTTTGTTTGCTCATTTATTTTGTGTTTTAGACGCCACACATAAGTGAAACCAGGTCCTATGCTTTTCAATCAGGGAACTGCACAGAGACCAGCTCAATGGAGGCAGAAGAAAGCGAGCATGAAGCCTGTGGCCCTGGGACTCTACCCAGACGGTGCCCTGCTTTCTCAGAGCAACTTCTTTCTCTCTCTCTGTCTTTCTTTTTTTAATCCTCACCCAAGGATATGTTTCCCATTTATTTATTTGAGAGAATGGAAAGGAGGGAGGGAGGAAGGGAGGGGAAGGGAGAGGGAGAGAAAAAGAAAGAGGGAAACATTGATCTAAGAGAGATACATGGACTGGTTGCCTCCTGCACACACCCACACCAGGGCCAGGGATCAAACCTGAAGCCCAGGCATGTGACCTTGACTGGGAATCGAACCTGAGCCCCTTCAGTGTGCAGGCCACTGCTCTAACTACTGAACTATACTGGCCAGGGCAATTTCTCTTATTTTAATAGAAACCTGTGGAGATAATGAATTAGCAAGGCCATACCAGTGACCCAAAAGACGCTCATGATATTTTGGGATGGACTTTCTGGTCTCCCTGAATTCTTCCCATTAATGTTGGTACTTTTTCTGAATATTCTAATCATCACCTTTCCTTTGAATTCTTAGCAACAGATGCTGGAAATGAAAATGTATGACAAGTTTCTCCTCACTTAGATGTTTTCCTTCTAATATTACCAGATTCAGGAAACTCTGAGATTCATTTTTTATTTCTTCAAAGGATTAGAGAAAGCTCTGTGCAAGGCATAGTGAAACATTCACTGCTAAATAAATAAAATTAGTTTCAAGTGTATGGCAGGGGTTAGACATTTATAGAATTTACAGTGTTTCCCCGATATTCCCAGCACTCACCTGGCACCATACATAGTTATCACAATACTAGAGGTCCTAGGGACCCTACCCATGCACAAATTTCGTGCACCAGGCCCTGATACCATATTCATCAAGGCCTAGGAGGTAGAGATGATGACGTGTAAGAGTCTGAGGTAAAATGGTTTGTTTTGCTTCAAACTCCTTTGCCCTCTGTCCCTGGGTCATGGGAAAGAGCAGGGGCAGCACAGCTCCTCCCCCCTCACTGGGTTCCCACCATGAGTCCTTGCTCAGGGTCCAGGAAGGCACTTAACAAAATGTGTCCTGGCCTCTTTTCCTGTAAAATTAGAGAGAAGATTCATCATTCCAATTTCACTCACTACTGACCCAGCAATGAGGGAAACTGACAGGGTAATTCTGACTTTTCAAGGTAAAGGGGCTCCATCAGAATCAGAACCACGTGGGCACAAAGGCCACTCATCCACGACCCAGAAGCAGTTGGTGGTCCCCGTGCACTCTCCTTGTGGGAGGTTCTCTCTCCAGACTGATTCCAGGTGATTCTAGTGCAGCCTGTACCTACTTCTCCTTCCTGACCATCAGCAATCGGGTGCCCACGTGTGTACATGTCTGCTACTTCTGTGTCAGTTGCTGTTTTTGTCATAATGATCCTGAATGCTCTCCAGATGGGTTCACGTCCATTGGTGGTGAATGAGAAGACCTACCGGTGTAGAACTGAAGACTGGAAGACCTATTTGCAGAAAGTGCAGTATCTTAGCTACTCTTGTCTTTGACAAAGTCCCCTTCGCCAAGTGGGATACTAATGAGTAAGATGACATCAAATGATCTCTAGTTGGCTTTAGTTTGGGGCTTTGAGATTCCCCCTTGCTTTTTTTTCTGGTAGCAGATGTCTACGCTGAATGTCCATCTTTTGAAAACTGCACTGTTCAGTATGTTAGCCATGAGCCATCTGTGGCTGTTTAAATTTGAATTCAGTAGAAATAAGTAAAATTCACTTCCTTAGTCATACTAGCCACATTCCAGTCACTCGGTAGCCACATATGCACACATGCATACATGCCCACACTCATTCCCATCGCCACAAAAAACTCTGCCGGACAGCGTTGCCATTACACCTTCCCTTAGTAAAATGAAAATTTGTACTTCTTAGTTATTCTAAGATTGGGGTCTACATTTTATCTTACATCAACATTATGTTGATCATGTATGGAGGGGAGACAAATGCAGGTCAACAAATAATTCAAATAAAAACCTTCACTTATCCCAGTAAATCATGTGGGTTGTGAGTGTTGACTGCTGATGGCTAGCACATGCCTGGCATGACAAGCGACACTGAGAGGGGCGCCTCCTCCCTAAGATAGGACGTCACCGATGTGGGCCTTGGAATGAGCAAAGCCCGTCACACACTCGAATTAGTTTCTCTCGCCATGTCATCACCAGTCAATGCATTTCTCTATCAGGGAAGGAAAAGGAGGACATTATAGAGCCCAGCCCATCAGCCAAACCATGGTGGGCATGAGAAACAGATGCTGTGCCTCCTTAGACGTGCAACATTGAGACTGTACCCGAGTCTAAAAGCTGCCTGGGAACAGGAAGGTGGGCAGATCAGAGGAAAGCACAGCACATATGACAGGTGATGTCAACATCCTGCAAAGGAAAGGGAATAGGAGGAAACAACGATAGGTTACATCTTGTATGACCTTGATTGTCCCCACCATGTCTTAGGGGGAAGGAACGATGGGAAGATTATGTCACCATTTGTCATTTTATAGCCATGAGCCGGAGTCATGAAGGCCTTGGTTCATCATGGACAGATTGGAGGCCCTCGAAATATACAAAACATATTTCAAACGGGAAGGTCTCTGCCCGCCTTGCTGATCTACTGCGGACTCTGGAGTTGTCATTAGAATGGTAGTGATCTGCCTGTGACAAAGGAAGGTGGGGTTGGGGGGAGTGTAAAAAAGGCTTCTATTTCAAGCTTAGAGAAGACACATACACATTTACTATTATAAGGTTCAAGTGTGTCTGTAGATGGATGGATGGATGGATGGATAGATAGATATAGATACATGTTGTTTTATTTTTGCCCAATTTCTCCAAAACTTCTCAGTGAGACTGAGGGAGGCTTTGTTTGAAAAGCACCACCAGGGAGACAAAAAGAATGAGTTTTTGATAGAAGCTTAAAATAAACACTGGCCAGAGAAAGGAGAGTGAAATACGAGTACCACGCTGTGCAGGGCGGTGACCTTGCCCATAAGGACATGCAAGGTGACGTGGTAGAGCAGCCACCACCCCGGTGCACCTGCCGAACTGAACTGCTGTCGGGTGAGTTACCCCGACGGGGCCCCCGGTGCTCCCCACCTTGTCTTCTGCCCTGATGAAACACTGTAGCTAACTGCACTTTTGAAAATAAAGAGATATATGATTTATGGTTCACAAAATACGAACCTGCTTTCAGGTCTTCTCGACAGCTCTATTTTGTTCAAGAGAGTTATGTGTTCACTGAGACTGTTTTATACGTTATCTCCCACATCACCGTAAGGCAGACTCAGGGTCGGGTGCTTGTGTAAAACCCGTCTGTCTGGAGCGATATTAGGAATTAATCGGAAGATTCCTTATTAACCACACTTCTACTATTAAACATCTACTTCCTGTTTTGTTTGTTTTTTATTGGGGGTGGGGGCTCATTTTAATTGGAGGGCTCCCTGGGTTTTACCCACAGAGCCTGTTGATCGAGCAATCATGCCATTGAGCTATCACGTGAACCTGACCTGAAACTCACAGACACCTCCTTCAGGCACCCACTTGCCCTTAAGTTTGAAAGCTCAGAAAGCTCTGACAATTTTATTTGTCAATTATACATCAACGAAGGTGGAAAAAGCTTGCTGGAGGTTTCTGTGCTTTGTTCTCTTCTTTCTTTAAAAAAAATTTATTGTTGACACTATTACAGATGTCCCCCATCCCCCCCTCCCTTGCCCACCTCCATCTAGCCCGCCCACCCCCGCCCCTGGCCATCACCTCATCATTGTATCTATGGGTTATGCATATATGTTATTTGGCTAATCTCTTCACCTTCTTTCACCCAGTCTCCTTTGACCTCCTTCATGCTTCCTCTGGTTCTGTTGTGCTCATCAGTATATCTTTTTCTTTTTTTAAAAAAGTTTTCATTGATTTTTTTAGAGTGAGAGGAAAGGAGAGGGATCGAGAGATAGAAACATCGATAAGAGAGGAACATCATCATCAATTGGCTGCCTCCTGCACACCCCCTACTGGTGCAGCCTGGCTTGTGTCCTGACTGGAAAATGAACCAGTGGCCTCTTGGTTCCTGAGTGGACACTCAACCACTGAGCCAGCAGCCTGGCTCCTCAGTGTATCTTAGTCACAGGTTGATTTCTTTCTTTCCTGAGTTAATCAGTAGAAGTAGCGAGGGGGCAGAGCCACCAGGGGCCATGTCAGTGATATTGGATGACAGCTTAATGTCTTTGGGCCCAGCAAGCTGTCATTCCAGTAGTGATGGGTGACGTGTATCAAAAGGTACAGGTTATATGGGCAGAGGCCAGTGCACCCCCATCACAGGGGATCACAAGTTCACATCCCAAATCTGAGACATCCACGCTTCTGCTCCCTCCCTCGCTCCACACCCCATCCACTACAATGGTGACCACAGGGTGGTCGCCTGGGGAGGGCCATGGAACGGACAAGGAAATGAAGTAAAAACCAAGGGGATCTGAACAGAGTATGCACTTCAATTACTATCAGTATCATTAATGGTAACATGTAACACACTGATGTAAAATGCTAATAACAGCAAACTTTGGGTGCAGGGTCTATGGGAATTCTTTGCATTTTCCTGTAAATCTAAAACCTTTAGTGAAAAATAAAGTTCACTAAAGAAAACCAAGTGGTATAAGAGGCTACAATTTTGTACTGTCTCCTGACTGCTCCCATCTTAGGGCAGTTCATTGTTATAAAATAACTTCTCTCTTTGGATAAGATGGCACATGTACTTTTTCAAATCCCAGCAGCTCAAAGCTTTTCTCAGAGTGCTTGTTATTTCCGGGCTGGCCGCTTCGGCTCTGCAGCAGCCTCCCTGTCCTTTGTTCTCGATGAAATCTTAAAAATGCCATGCACTTGGGAGGAGGGAGAGTTATTTATATGTGGATGGAGTGCCTCCGTCCACAGAGGAATTAAGAGAAAAGGAAATAAAGTTATATAAAGTCTTCCTTTTGCTAGATTCCCTAAAATAGTCCAGGATTACAAAGCAGTCTATATTTTCATGATAAAAAGTATATTTTTCGCAATACTTCACAGCTAACGAAGCATAGCCTCTCACATTATCACGCATTGGGTAACCGCTGTGAGGTTACCCAATCAACCCTATTGTAGAGATAAGAAAAAAGACATGAAGAACCTTCTACCCCATGCAGGGCTCTCTGCTCCCTGCAACCCATGACCTCCCTTCATTCTGCAGACCCCATGACCCCCCTCCTCCCTGCAGACCCCTGACCTGCCCTCTGCCCTGCAGACCCCGTGACCTTCCCTCCACCCTCCAGACCCCATGACCTCCCCTCTGCCCTGCAGACCCTGTGACAACCTCCCCTGCACCTCGCTACCCCTGGGCTACCCTCACAGAAGTCAGC